TCTTTGATCCCCCTAAAATTTCGGGGATACCCAGTACCCATGCCTCCAATTTGTGTAATACCCAGTAAATTATGTATCTCCATACGATCGAGAACTTTACGTCCGAATTGGATTGAAGATTTAGAAAAATTAATTTTCTGCCCTGAGACCTTTTCATAATCTTTAAGAAGTTTGAAGATAACACCACATTCTTCCATCGTAGCCTTACAGAAAAACAAGCTATCATCCGCAAACAACAGGTGCGAGACCACAGGGCTCCCCCTTGTGATCTTTAAACATGTTAATCTTTTCTCTCTTTCCTCCTTCCGAATATTAGCAATAAGAGCCCTCCGTACATAGAATAAATAAATAAGGGGAGAGCGGATCTCGTTGCCGTAAACCTCTTTCCAGAACGATGTGACCTTTTGGTTGGCTATTAATAGAACCTTGTAATTAACTGAAGATATGCACTACAGTACCAGAGTAACCCATTCCACAGAGAACCCCATTTTTAAAAGCAGGCTTTTCAGAAAAGACCACTCCACTCTATCATATGCTTTACTCATATCCGTCTTAATTTCCAAAAACTTGTCCTTGCAAGCGTTATTTGTCTATAACCCATGAAACATCTCCTGAGCAATGAAGATATTATCCGGAATTAATCTTCCTGAAACAAAGGCCGATTGTTTCTCTGAAATCAATTTTGTTAATAGAGGCTTCAGTCTTTGGCACAACACCTTTGAAATAATTTTATAACCCACATTACATAAACTGATGGGTCGTAACTCAGTCATCCTGTTAGGCCTCACTGTTTTGGGTATAAGACAAATATTTGTCATATTCAATTTAGAATCCAACAAGCCTGTATTGAAAATATTATTTACCATTGCAACCACGTCCTCTTTTATAATTGCCCAAGACTGTTGGTAGAAAAGCGCAGTCATACCATCAGGTCCAAAAGCTTTTTCCGGATGCATCATAAAAAGAGCCGTCCTCACTTCTTCCTTTGTAACCGTAGCCGTTAACCTAGTATTTTGGGCACTCGTTACCAGGGTGGGAATTTCCTCAAGAAATCCATCAATCTCAGCGGGAGAAGAGGTATAAACAGATCAGTAAAAATACTTAACTGCCACTTCCTCAACCTCCGATTCTGAATTAACCCATACTTCATCCTCATTATACAAACCTATAATTCTATTCTGAACACACCTTTGTTTTGTTAAGGCATGATAGAACTTTGTATTTCTGTCACCACACATTTTCCACATCGTTCTACTCTTTTGTTCCCAATATTGTTCCTCATCCTGATATGCCTCTTTTAATTTCCTATAAACCTCTAAAACTTCGTCATTTGACTTTGAAAAGTCGTTTTGAAACTCCTCCAAAGCTTTTTGTAAATTATTTATTTTTTCTTCCCATACGGGGGATTATTCTTCCTCCAAACCGAAATCTTGCGTCTACAAGAATGAATCTTGTCAACTATCCCCACATTTCCACATTCTTTCTTCCAATTCCACCCTCTTGTGATCGATTCCATTAATTCATCTTCACCAATCCATATCTTATGAAACCGGAATTGCCTCCTAAATTTGATAACTTTATCGTCCACCGTAGCTACAATGGGCCTATGATCTGAGCCAATCATTCCCAAATACTCCACAAAAGAACATAGAAATAAATTATGCCACTCATTATTACCAAGTGATCTATCTAGGCGACATTTTACAAGTTGTTTATTCCTTCTTCCACTCCAAGAAAGTGTATTACCGAAAATCGGAAATTCCAACAAACCACAATTTTCTATCATGTTATTAAAAATTAGGAAGGTATCTGCATGACGGAGGACACCACCTTCTTTCTCGTGATTTCCTGTAATTTCATTTAGACCACCAATGATAAACTATGGTTCATCCCTCGCGATACCAATCCTCGTTAATCTTTCCCAAACATGATCTCTTAAGTTCTGATTAGGTTCACCATAAACAAAGGATATATAAATCCGATTTCCCTTATATTCAGTTTCCACATCAGTTATTCGATTATTGGAAGATAATATATTCACCTTATACGTGGAATCATAAAACAGAGCCAATCCTCCACTCCTACCTAAAGGATCAACCGTGTGGAGATGACTATATCCAAAATGAAAATGAAAAGACTGAACAAAGTCAAACTTCTGTTTTGTCTCCGAGAGGAAGAGAAAAGTAGGTTTATGTTTATTCCAAATTTCCCGTAAATAACTAATTGTTCATTTACTACCAAGACCCTGACAATTCCAACTTAAAATTTTCATTTATATAAACTTGGAAGTAACTTTAACGGACCCTTTGAATTTGAGGTCCGGGCTAGAAACCAACACCAATCTCCTGTCTATTTATCCAATTTATAAAATAATCAAACCAAATTGAAAAACCAAACCATAATTAATCAAATCTCGTACAACCAGAATTTATTCAATCCATACAAACTGATTTTCCCTACAACCCCAGTATCTATCAACCATAGATAACCATACCAATGCAAACCGAATTGTGGGGATTTGATAAGTAGGACCCTGCTAGCTCTCATAGATACCAATAACCAATGAGAGACATGTATACCGATACTAATTCCATCAAATCACGTCTTTTCAAACCTCCCCAATTGTTTATTCTCATGCCATTGAAAAGGCAAATACATTAAACCATTTCCAGTAAACTCTTCCCACATCTGAATTATATCGCTCCAAGTCTCCTTTATGAATAAGCCCACACTTATACCCATATTACAGGTTACCAACAGACATTTTGGAATTGAGATATATTCACACCCATGACAACTAAAACGATTACCTTTTAAGCCATATCCTGGATCAGTGCCGGCATTTATCCTAGAAAACATCGTTCTCCCACCAAGTACCGCATCAATAACCATACTTCTTTTTTGAGACACACAAGGATCCGGCACCAAATCACCAAATAAGATCATGGCCTCGCCATTAACACCATTACCATATAATGTACCAGAAGCAATTTCTACGTGCGCATATCCCTGGTCCCTTTCGGAAGTATCTCGAAACCAAACCTTCATACTTCCATAATCCTCTTGTAGCCACACTAAGATTGCTATCCTCACTGTGAATTCCTCCCAGTTCCGAGTAACAAACCAAAATCATGTATCATGAAAGAAAACATCAAAAGTTACTTTTAGTTCCAAAATGAAACCCTTTAATTCATAGTCATAATATTGACACCATCCCACCACCACGCGAAACAAGTATCATACATCTCCCAGTTTGACAAAGTCAAACTCCAATCAGCACACATATGTATGTGAAGCCACCCTATCCTCACTCCCATTAATCGCAATCCTATGAAGAGCCTGGCCATTCCCAACCTTTCGAACCACCATACGGTGTAAACTTGCAAAGTACAACAGTTCCTTTCTTTAGACTTCTTCTTGGAGATTACTTCATCAATAGAATAATCCAAATAGTGAGTTATTTCATACAGATAAAATTACTTCATAAATAGAATAATCCAAGACTTTACTCCACTTTAAAGTTGAATATAAAATGAGATTAAAAAATAATTTACTTTAAAATGGTTGAAGTAAAAAATTCAATAAGATTGGAAATGGCCTTAGAATTTGTGTTTGCATTCTTCTCGCAAGTCAACAAGTCCTCCTGTTCAGCCTACTCGGTACATTCAACTATAGGTTATACTTGAAATTGCCGTGCAATTATAAATCTGAGATTTTTCTAAAATCAATTTGATATCACTTTTCCAATTTAATTTTAAAAGATATCCATTTTAATATATAGTTTAAATGTAATGGAAAAAATAAACTAACTATTCTAACAATTTATAAATATTTAATAATTATTTATAAAAGTTTATAAATCTTATCTCACTTCATAAAACTAAACTATAAAGAATAATCAATAAACCTAAATACAAATGTTAGAATATCTTTTATTGAAAGTATTTTTGAAAATTGATAGCTAATTTATGGTATTTCAAATAATTTCTCAAATTTCTATTAACATTTTTTTTGCAACAGTAGTATTTATACTTATGTAGTCTCCTTTTCGTAAACAGTATTTTAGAATGTTTTTCTTTTAAGCGAAACAAATATGTAACATGTTGATGGATTTTAATCTGATAAAACTATTTTACGTAAGTATATATATATATACATTTTTTTTTTGGGATAAATTTTTTCGGTTGATCTGGTCGACTCCGAGAAGAACGTACTTAGTGCTACAGAGTGGGCTAATCCGAAAGCGTACTACATTGTCTGATTCGACTTTGGGACACTTTCTGACTAATACCAGAGGCTGAAACGACCATCTGTTATAGTCCACCATATAAAAACAACGTCGGCCGAAACCCAACCCAAACTGATCAAATAGAGATAATTTAATTCTTAGAAGAAATCGAACCAAAACTGATATAGATACATACCAAACCTCAAACAAAATTGCCACTGAGATATTTTTTTTAACATATGCCACTAAGATATTACCACTTAATTATTTCGTAACCATTTCCTTTTTTTTTTACCAAAACACCATATATTTATACATTCTATAGTATGAACACGTTTGATGTTTTATAGCATGTTGAGAAAAAAAACAAATAAAAATTAGGAAGTTTTCTAAGTCATTAGATATAACAGAATCTTTTGATCAAATCAAATTTCTTAAGGTACGTATATGTTTTATACATTTACTTATGATATATATTCAACAGATATATATATGAAGATGTCAATGTTTAACATTTATAACGAAAACAGAGACAAATCAAACAAGATTTGCCAAATTAATAGATAGAACAGAATCAATAAAATCAAATAACTTAATGGAATGGAAAATTGTTAATAGTGTTTATCTCCACATATTACAGTATAAAACAAAATAATAAAGAAACACGACATTCCTGAAAAAGCAAAAACAGTTTGTATTTAGAGTTTAGACAGCCCTTACAGTTGACACGTAAGCTGAGAACCACCCGAAGACGCAGAGACTAGTAGGCCTCCACAAAAACGACACAGTTTCCCTGTTTTGTACTCTCGAGAAAGCTATCGCCGCACCGTCTGAGAATAACAAAAAGAGAAGAAGAGTCTGATTCTCGGAGAAGAAGAAACAAATCCTCCACCACCACCACTTTTCTTCTTCGTCGAATCAGTTCTCGTCTCTCTTGAAATTCTTTACGAGAATCTGATACTGACGTGTAGCTATAAATTCCAGGTTCTGTAGGTCAGACGTATAATAAAAATAATCACGCATGGCGTCGCTAGCTCTGACTTGTCCTCCCGCCGGCGTTAAGGCTCCGTCCTACCTTGCCTCCTCTTCTTCGTCTCTTTTCTCTCGCTCCTCGATTTCATTCAGCACCGTTGAGTCTCGCTCCCGAATCTGCGTTTCCAATTCCGCGGTGAGCTCTTCTTCTTAATAGATGAATTCGATCATATACCTGCATTACGTAAACGTATATATTTATAGATTGTTTTTGGATACTTTTTGCTCTTGTGTGATTGCAGTTTTTTGATTTTTTTGATAATGAATTTAAAAAAAAAAGCTTGTGCTTTGATATTTGATTTGATCTGTGGATATGAGTGTATGCTTTTAGCAGTTTTTTAACTTATTATGTTTTTGCCAGAGATGCAAAGCACTGAATCTTGGAAACGGGAACGCTAGTATTCCAATCATCAATGGGACGACACTTCCAAAGTACTTTGATTCTTCTTCCCGGTTGGAGAAACCGGTGAGTAGAGCCAACACTAAGCTCAAGCTGTTCTCTGGTACTGCAAATCCCGCACTTTCTCAGGTTAGTTTTCTCAACAAGTCTTTTGATCAAGTTTTATACTTGCTAACTCTCTCTATGGGGTTTGTCTAGGAAATTGCTTGGTATATGGGCTTGGAGCTTGGCAAGATTAGCATCAAGAGGTTTGCTGATGGGGAGGTCTACGTTCAGCTCAAAGAGAGTGTTAGAGGCTGCGATGTCTTCTTGGTGCAGCCTACTTGCACTCCTACGAATGAGAATCTCATGGAGTTGTTGATCATGGTGGATGCTTGTCGAAGAGCTTCCGCTAAGAAAGTAACGGCCGTGATTCCCTATTTTGGATACGCAAGAGCTGATAGAAAGGTATCGTCTCATTTTTGCAAATACAAACCTCTGTCTTATCAGTTTCTGAAGCAATTTTAACCTAATGTTATAGACACAAGGGCGTGAATCCATTGCTGCCAAACTGGTTGCCAATCTTATTACCGAAGCTGGTGCGGATCGGGTTCTTGCATGTGATCTTCATTCAGGACAGTCAATGGGTTATTTTGACATACCTGTAGATCATGTTTATTGCCAGGTACCTCAAACTTGACGTTCTTGAGTTATTTTCGTAATGATCTTTCAAAATCTTACTCGAATTATGTGGTTATGTATCAGCCTGTGATACTTGATTATCTTGCTAGCAAGTCAATTTCCTCCGCAGATTTGGTAGTGGTTTCTCCTGATGTTGGTGGAGTTGCCAGGGCACGTGCATTTGCCAAGAAATTATCTGATGCTCCACTTGCCATTGTTGATAAGAGACGTCATGGCCACAATGTTGCCGAGGTGAAACTTTAAAAATTTTACCGTTTGTTTTTTTTTTGTCTTTGCTAATGAGGCGTACGAAAGTTTTTTTTCAAATGTGTTCTATAATACTCTTCCACACAGGTCATGAACCTAATAGGTGATGTTAAAGGCAAAGTGGCAGTAATGGTGGATGACATGATTGATACTGCTGGTTAGTTACAAAGAGATGATTCCGTGATCTTCAGGCCGAAGCATCATTACTAAGAACCACTTCTTTTGTTTGCAGGAACCATTGTGAAAGGAGCAGCTCTTTTACACGAGGAAGGTGCTCGTGAGGTTTATGCTTGCTGCACTCACGCGGTTTTCAGGTGAGCTCATTAGTCGATTCCACCATTTCTAGTATGTATGTGAAAACATGTGATTTAGAGTTTGTTTTCTTGAATGAATCAATATTACAGTCCGCCTGCGATAGAGCGTTTATCGAGCGGTTTGCTGCAAGAAGTGATAGTGACGAATACTTTACCGGTAGCGGAGAAGAACTACTTCCCGCAGCTGACGATATTGTCGGTGGCTAATCTTCTGGGTGAGACCATTTGGCGTGTCCATGATGATAGCTCCGTTAGTAGCATTTTTCTTTGATGCTTCCTTGGTTTTTTCTTTCTTTTTTTTTCGATTTAAGGTTTTAGGATCGGTTCTTTCTTCTATTCACAGTTTCTACAGCATGTTTTGATCGTCTCCCTACCCACAAACTGTTGTCACTTTTCTGAGTTGTACCTTTTTATTTTTATTTATTAGCCTAGAATTATCAATAAGTGTAATAAATTGTGGAGTTTTGATTCCAGTTTCCGCACTTGGTACATTATTTATATTGAAAAAGAGTTGTCAGTAATATATAATCTCTGTTATCTTGCAATGGCTAGCCTTTTTAACGCTGGAAAACCTAGAAAAGTCGGAAAACTAGACCATAAGCATGTTGAGAATGAATAACTGAGTAAGCTATCGAAGATGGATAATAATAACAGTTCTTGTAATAGCTCCGCACCAACCAAATAAAAGGCTAAAACTGGTGCCATTGGTGCATCGGTCCTTTTCTTTATATGGCCGTGCATCTCTTGAAGGTTTGGGCAACTTAATTTTCTGGTCGGTCGTTCTTCTTGTTTCAATGATGAAAAGAGCAAAAGCATAGACATGCCGAGGAGAATTGGTTAATTCCTACGTCAATAGGGACTAACTGTCCCAATCAGTACATAAATATGTTACATGTGCGAAAATATACATAAACTAGTAAAAAATTCAATTTTCATATAAACGTTCAAAATCTGTTTTTAACCTACACTTAACCTAATTTCTGTTAGACAAGCATTAAATTGCTGTTAACAATTAACATGAAATCGGTTAATTCTTATATAAAAAGAGACCAACGATCCCAATCAATACATACAGTTCCACCTATACGAAAACATATATATTAAGTAATGCAAAATTTAAATTCAATACATGAACTTCTTAAATCTGGTTTTAATATACATTGATCTAACTTTCACTAGTCAAATATTACCGAGTATAAAATATCTACCACATGTTAATTAAATAGTGCTTTCTTATATTATACAGTAATTAAACCATGGTAATTGACTGACAAAAAAATCATTTATGCCAAACAATTTCATTCTCGTGTAACTCATTAGATAGCTTTTCTCTATAATTTTTTTTTCATCGATTTTTTCGGCAAAAAAATGAAACAAAGAGAAGACAACAAATGACAGAACTGAACACAGACAAACAAAAATGGATAAGGTAGACATTCTCGTTTCTCTCAGTTCGATTTTGTAATTCATTTTCTTCTCTGTGTTAGGTTTTTTTCCCAAAAAGCCGAAGAATAAAAGTTAAAGAGAAAAGCTAACTAATGAGTTACACGAGAATAAAATCATTTAGTCTAAATGATTTATCTTTTATCAGCCATTTACCACGTAATTAAACCATATAATACAATAAACTTTACTTAATAACCACATGAGAGATAGTTTATATTCAATAATGTTTGATTAGTGGAAATTCAATTAATGTATGTTAAAACCAGATTTTGAGATTTCTTAAATTGAATTTAAATTTTGTATGAGTTGATGTATGTTTTCGCACAGGTGAAATGTTTATGTATTGATCGAGATCGTTGGCCTCTGTTGATGTATGAATTGGCCGATTTCATGTTACATGTTAACAACAACTTAACATTTGACTAACGAAACTGAGAGCAATGTATGTTAAAACCAAATTTTGAAATTTCATATATGAAAATTGAATTTTTTACTAGTTGATATATGTTTTGCACATATAACATATTTATGTACTGATCGGAACCGTTGGTCCCTATTGATGTAGGAATTGACCGATTTTCCAACATGTCAGTACTAATTAACAAGTAAATAATGAACATACATATTATATGATAATACATATACCTGTAGAGAAGATGTGACGGTTGGAAACAATGAAAATTGAAACTTGGATTGTGGAACTTAAGGAAATCTGTATTTTTTTTTCTGTAAAATATGTGAATATCATGTAAATATGAAAGAGTTTGTAGTTTATACAAAAATATTTAAATTAGGATAGAATTTACCTTAGCAAAAAAAAAAGAAAAAAAAAACAATGTAAGAATTAGATGCTTGATGATTGGTGAAGGAGGTTACAAATTCATCAGCCAAGCCTAAATATTTGAGTTGTCTCCAGATCAAAGAAAAAACACACGTGCATATTGTCAAAGTGAAGTTTGTCTTTGGTTCCTTTCAATTTGATTGCAAAATCCCATGCACATGTTATTGCTATTAACTTGTGTCTCCCTTAAGAGTTGTCATTTAACACATCTATATTCAAGACTGCGACACAAAAGTAATTCGTTTCCAAATTTTAAATCCTTAAAACAATAATTAGCGAATAACTGTTTTAAAATTTTCATGCTTCCATCAATCACAGTTTTATAAGAACTTGTCAAGAAAATGAAAATGGAATCTGGAAACAAGTTAATATTTCTAACCAGGACGAGAGAAGATTCCATGATGAGCATAGCATAAATATTTTATGGTTGTACAATGTGGAGAAGAGAACAAAACATAGCCACACCCATAACATGTACATGAACCTGCAATTTTACGTGATAAAAAAACAAAACCAAATATCGGTAAGATACACAGAAAAATCATGATTTTCTTTTCAACTAGCAAATAAATAATAAACTAGTAGGGACACATACCAAAATTTGGAAAGATTTTCAAAAAATACATTTGGAAACACTGGCACATGCATAAGCATCGGCCTCCTAAATGAAATGCAACTTTAGTCGCCATTAATTGGACTGAAATTAACAAAGTTAACAACCTTAGATGATGTGGAATATGTACTCGTTTGTTTATGCTTCTGTTCTAGTAGGCTTGTCCTCATAAAATCAGACCTAAGATCCTCTACATGGCCTAAATGATACAGAGCATCAAATTTTGTTAAAGCTCTCAAACTTAGCACGTTCTTGTTGCATGTGAGCTTTAGATGACGTTGATGTGCCGTGCCAGTGGGTTTAGTCTTCTGTTCTGTTAGGCTTGTAGATGGCAGCATGTGTTGTGCCATGATTTTGTTACATGTGAGATTTAGATGAAGTTGATGTACCTGTGTGTTAAACATTTTGTTTTAGCACGGTTGTCTTCATAAAATAAAACTTAGAATCTTCTACGTGGTCTACAAAGACATTAACTTCACTGATTCTAAAATTCTAAAGTCACACAAATCTCCAAAACCTATGTTTTAAGAGTGTTCCCCTCAAGATTGAAGTAGAAAAAATCAAAATTTTCAGGACATATAGTCGCTAGCACAAAATAACCTCACTTCTCATGGTCATTCCAACAACAAAAACATCAAGATTGAGTTCATTTCCCGGCAAATTATAGACATATTAAGATAGCTTCTCTTTCGCGGCGTTCTCTAGGACAACCATATGTAATTGAAAGGTTTTGTGATCATAATTTAGTCCAACCATGCCTAATTTACTCTTATAGTTTATCAAAATCCTACCTAAACGTACCTACCATTCATCACTTGTAATATCAAAGTAATACAAAACTCCATTGATGCATATCCCTTCATGCTCAACATGATGCTTTAACAAGATGCAACTTAAATGATGGCTTTTTATTGCTTATGCATTATTTCTTCATGAACTATGGGTTTCATAGTTTCTATTCTAGAAAATCTATTCTAGTGGTGACAGCACATGCACTAGCTACAAGCCTCTTGGTATCCTGTAGTGATACTCATTTGGTAACTCTATCCTCAGACGCAGCTTTCAGGTAACAAACTTTTAGGCTTGATGCGTGATAGTGAAATTACATTTAAATGTCAATATATGGATCAAATCCGGTTTTGAAAATTGTTGGAGATATTTTAGGATTAAAATAAGGTTATAGAATTTGACTTCTTGGCATCAATACCATAGTATTATCTGCATTCTCGTTGCCTTTATTAAAGGTAACTCTTATATATTGACATGATACTACAAATATTTTTACGGCTTGTTCAACCAGGAAGATCAAGAACAGCTTCATCGATTTATCCTACTGATTTCAGTTTTGGTGGGGATCATCTATGGGATACATTTACTATAAGTTCAGTTCTCTAGTAAAACAGATCCTTGAGATTACATGTTTAGTTTTTGACCATCTCCTTGATTTTGTGCATGTGTTTATATAGTTTACTAATGGTTCAGTTTATATCTTATGTCTAGTTGTGCCATTTGAAAAGTAGGAAATTTTTTGAACTTTCTGTTTTTTTATTCCTCTCTAAGTATACTTTGAGACATTTCTTATAGAGAAGTTTACTAAAATGACACCAATTAATTGTATTCTTATTAGATTGACTCATATTTTTTGAAAATTATTAGAATATTTTTCTGGTCGAAATTACGCTCATCCATAGTTGTAACAAAAAAAACATTTACCAAAATATCCTTAGCATTTGGTTGTCCACAGATTTATTTTCAAAAAAGTAAATCTATCAAGTAATAAGCATGTTTATAAAATCTGTTCAGAAAAAAAAAATCTATTGTTAAAGTGGTGTCAGACTTTCTTAGAAACCTCAGATTTATTTTCACGATAGACTTAATTTTTCAGAATATGTCTGGCGAATGAAGTAGCAGATTTTTTATAAATGGTAGATTTTTGTGGCCAACTTATTTTCTTATGTATCGAATTATTTTCTTATGTTCAATTTATTTTTTGATGGCAGAATTCTAAATCCGACTTAAAATAGTTGGTAAACTTTTTTATTTTATGTGGTGAGAGATTTTTTAATTTATGTTGTGGCAGATTTGTTGACAAAAATATGTAAACCAGACTTCATTTGATATTTAATTTCAATCCATTTTACATTAATTTTGAATTTGGCTTATTTTTAGGTTAATTAAGATCATAACTAGGTAAATATTTAGTAACTATCGTCATTTCTTTTATCCCTTTTTTTCTTTCTTATATAGCTGAACGTTAAAAGTATTTTTAATAATGAAACATCCAAATGTCTGATATTCCTTATAAATGTGTCCTTTTTATTAGTTACAATTTGGTTCCACTGGTTAAATGTTTAAAGTTTCAGTAGATGAAAGGACAGAGGTGTAGGTATAAGTGCTTGATCATGATTTTGGATGTGGAAAGTGGGAAACTATAGATCTTTCACTTTAAGAGTTACATAAGACATAACTTAAGGATCAAATTTCATGACTACTTTTGATTGCTATTTTATTGGCAAGAAAATAGTTGTTATTTGAAGTGAACAATAATCAAAGTAATAAATTACTTGCAGAAAAAAACTAGATATAAGAATTCGTGAAAACATATATGAAGATTAAA